GGCGCTTCGAGTCATTGTAGAGCGCCGTCGTGAGTTCAGACGTGGGCGGCTCGCAGCCTACATCGACCTCAAGAAGGCGTTTGATACGGTGTATCGCGAATCACTCTGGGAGATCCTGAGACTGAGAGATATTCCAACAAGGACTTTTGAGCTAATAGCAAACCTGTATACAGGCACTGAAAGTGCTGTAAAGTGTGGTGGGGGCCTGTCTAGCTTCTTTCCTGTTAGTTCAGGCGTGAGGCAAGGCTGTGTACTTACACTAACACTTTTCAACACTTGCATGGATTGGATACTGGGTAGAGCTACTGTCCAAAGTCACTGTGGAGCAACTCTGGGCAATATCAAGGTTACAGACCTTGACTTTGCTGATGATGTTGCTATTCTTTCTGAATCTCTGGAAACCCTAGTGGCGGCTCTTGATGCATTTAGCAATGAAGCGAAGCCCCTGGGGCTAGAGGTCTCCTGGACCAAGACCAAGATCCAGGATTTTGGGGGCCTACTAGGAGACCCTGTGCAGTCGGTACGTCCTTGCGGTGAAAACATCAAAGTCACAAGGAGTTTTATATACCTCGGTAGTGCAGTTCATGACTCTGGGCTGTCAGACCAGGAAGTCAGTAGACGGGTTGGCCTGGCTGCAGGGGTCATGAAATCTCTCGACAAGAGTATTTGGAGATGCTGGTACCTGTGCAGAAGGACCAAGCTACGAGTTTTCAAGGCCCTGATATTGCCAGTTTTACTATATGGCACTGAAACTTGGATACTATTTTGTGCTTTGGAGTCTCGTCTCGATGCCTTTTGTAGCAGATCCTTGCGCCGGATCATGGGGTACAGTTGGCGGGACCATGTGTCCAACCAACAGCTACACCGTGAGACCGGTACAGGACCTGTTACTTGCACAATCCCGTGATCGCCAACTCAGGCCATATGGCCACTTGGCTCGATTCCCGCAGGATGATCCTGCCCATCAGGTTGTCTCTGTCCGAGACAACCCTGGGTGGAGGAGGCCTGTGGGACGACCAAGAAGGTCGTGGCTTGGGCAGATCGATCAAACCTGTCGTGAGGAACTAGAGATGGGCCGGGCGGCTATGCGCTCCTACCGGCGTTAGCTCCCCAATGATGAATGATGATGATATATATGTGTATATATATATATATATATATATATATATATATATATATATGTGTGTGTGTGTGTGTGTATGTATATATATGCATATATATGTATATACATACATATACACTCATATGTTTATCATATATATTCTATTATATTTATATAAATTATACCAATTACTGATAGAGCTTTCTTTTCAGAGAGAGAAAGACAGAGACAGACAGAGGCAAGAGAGAAAGAATGATGACCATTAGGCATTTCCAATATCTTGTCATATAATTGTTTTTATGATTATATGCCATTTTCCTTATTCTCTCTCTGCATTCTCAAAGCAAGAGCCATAATAATATTTTTTTGATCAGAGCAAAACATAATCTTCGTAAAAAGAACTGAAACAGAGCTTACATTGACTATTGCCGTGTCCCTAAAAAGAAATGAGTAAACAGCTTATGAACCTTGTTCACCATTGCATTTTACGAGCCTCGCTTGGATAACGGTAGCTCCCGCTTGTTTATTTAGTGGGTAGGGATTCTTGGGGTAGGTAGGGGCTGGCATGATTTACTATAATTTATCATTCGTGTTCACATATATAACGTGAGATGTTTCTTCGAGAGATTCTTCGACATTAGTGTGTGTGTGTTTGTGTGTGCATTACAAAGCAGAAAGAATAATAAATAAATTAGCTGTTAGTATAGCATCTAAAAAAAATATTAGATCAGATTGTATTGAACACCTTAAATATAAATATCTTGCAACATTATGAGTGGACCAAATGACAAAAGGCAAGTCCTACCACATTAACTTTGTTCAAAGCCATTCCCAAGTGGACAGTCGTGTTGTGGCTTGGATCAAGGATAGGTCTCGAGGCCTTGCTGTAATTCTGAAGTTTGTCCTTGTAAAGTCTCGCTATCCAGTTTTCTCTCGTGTCCGTGTTCCCAAAGAAATCTGGAATTCATATTTTATTATTAGGGATATTGTTGCTACTTAAAGCTATTGTCAGTACAAATGAATTGTTATTTTGATATAATTCCCCCGCAGTGGCTATTTTTTAACCATTGTAGTTTATATAATTATATTATATAATCTATCTGTAGTTTCTATCTGTATTATTATTATTGTTATTGTTATTATTATTGTTATTATTACTATTATTATCATTATTGTCATTCTTATTATGTCATTATTCTTATCTTATGATTATCATTATTATTATTATCACTATCATTATTATTATTATTATTATTATTATCACTATCATTATTATTATTATTATTATCATTATTATTATCATTATTGATAATATTAATATTAATATTGTGTTTGTTCGTGTCATTTTTATCATCAGCATTATCATCGTTACTATCATGACGATGAGGAAAATTATGTTTATTATTATTATTGCATATATATTTATTATTATTATTGTTATCTATATTATTATTATTATGGTAATCTTTATTATGCTTATCACTGCCACTATCATTATCTTTATCATTATCATTGATTATTATTATTATTATTATGAATATAATTATCATCATTATTGTTATTATTATCAGTAATCAATTCATTATCGCTGTTTCTTTTGTTACTAAAACTATTACTTCTAACAATGATACCAATAACACAAATGTGAATTATGAAACAACAACAGTAAAAATAGAAGCAGTATTTATAACAACAATCCCAAAATGATAATGATGAAAATATCAGTTAAAATAGTAGTAAGAATAAGGGCAATAACAAAATAATATATAATATAGGAATTATCATGTAATTATAACAACCAAAAAAACAAACAAAAAAAACTATTGGCCATTGTAATGATAATATAACAACAATAATAATGATAAAGATTATGATAACTGTAAAAATAATAATTTTGTACTATCAAATAATAATAATAATAACGATAATATATTAACAATCATAAAGATAATTACCATAATAATCATAGTAACAATGATATTGATAATGATAATAGAGTAATAACGAAAAAAAGTCAGAATCATTAATATTTTTTTAAAATTTCATCACTCCATTTTATCATTATTATTATTATTATTATTATTATCATTATTATTGTTATTATTGTTATTTTTATTATCAAATGTTATTACTATTATTAGTAGTAGTAGGAGTAGTATTGTTATAATTATTAAGAATAATATAGTTGTTAATATCATCATCATACTACCACTCCCACTCATTGTTGTTATTTTTAAAGTATTATTATCAATACTTCTATTTTTGTTGTTAGTCTCAATATTATTAGAAGTAGTACTCTTTGTTTTAATAATAATGACAGTATTGATATCGAAATTATATTAGTGGTAATGATAGTTATAATGATAACAGCTACAATAACAGTAGTATTATCATTTACGCTTTCATGAACATTACAAATATTGTTAGTTTATTTAAATCATCGTTTATTATTATATCCATTATTTTTAGTTATCATTATTGTTCATATTACCAACGGTATTAGCGTTGCTGATATCGATTTTCTTTCTTGGTGTTTTTATTAAGTAGTAGCATGAGTAATGATATTAGTAATATTTTATTATCATCATCATCATCATCATCATCTTCATTATCATCATCTTCATTTTCATCTTCATCTTCATCATCATCATCATCATCATTATCATTGTTATCACTGATATCAATATCCTTCTTTATACCTATATTTTCATCTTTAAATATTACTCTGATCATTATTATTTAAAAATTTATGTTCACACTATTAGCATGATTATGGACATTAGGATTATTTTGAAATTCATAAATAATATCATCATTTTTCATTAGAATTGTTGAATTTTCATTATTATCAATAGTTTCTTCATTCTTATGATTATTACTATACACTTTAGATACATCACTATTTTTTCACTTTCCTCTTTCCTGTTCCTATCGTTATTGTTATTGGTATAATTATAGTTGTCATTAGTGCCGTTATCACATTTTTCTATAATATGTAGTGTTAATGCTATTATTATTATCGCCATCTACACTGCTGTCATCATTATCATCATTATTATTTTTATCATTATTTGTATTAGTATTCTGTTTTTATACTCATCACTGATTACACATCGTATCATTGACATTATTGCTGTTATTACTATTATTATTTTATTTGTTATTATTATTATTTATATTATTATGATTAGTAGTATTATCATAATAACAATAATAATAACAATTATTATTATTATTGACACTATAATCTTATTTGTAATTTTACCAATTATGATTATCGTGTATATCATTATTATTTTGTTATTGCTGGGATTATGATGTATATATTTGTATATTATTAAAATTATTATAGCAATCATTGTTAATATTATACGTATTAATTTTATGGTTACTCTAAGCCTCAGTAATATTAATGCGTAGGGCGCAAAATGTATGCGAGTGTGTGTATGTGTGTATTTCTCTATCTATCTATTTGTCTATCTATCTTATCTATCTATATGTATGCATATGTATATATGCATATATATGTATGTATAAGTGTGTGTATATATATATATATATATATATATATATATATATATATATATATATATATATATGTATGTATATATATATATATATATATATATATATATATATATATATATATATATATATATATATATATACTTATATACATATAATGAAAGTTTGTTAACGTGGTGAAACAAAAGAGAATGTGAAGAAATGATATTACGTAATTAAATGTACTCACTGTCTCCATTACACTCGAAGATGCACAAAGAAAACAGAAGAATTACTATATTCATTTTCTTTTCTCCTGTTGGTTAACAGAATCTTAGGTCCTGTATATTTTCACAGCTCCTGGACCAAACACACCAAGTCGCGTTGTATGACTACAGCGATTACTCACAATATACTCACAATTACTCGGAGCAACCCGAAACAGCTGGTTGTAGGAAGAAATTCACCAGCTAGACAAATTTCGCCCTTATTCTAATACTGCATTATTATTGTATTTCTTATCAATGTTCTTATGGGCTTGCGTCGATGTGCCTTGGCTTCTCGAGATCCTCTCATTGATAACGTCATATCTTATCGGATCAAACAGAACTTCCCTTCGGTCAGCCTGATAAGGCAGTGGATGACATTAATTTGGCCCTAGTGATTGCATGGAAAATTTCAGGCTGTATGCTTGCCAGATAACGCGTTACCTAGCAGCGTTTATATAGGTCTCTTATGAGTTAATATACTTAAAACCGTAAAGGAAGGCAAATATATATACATGTGTGTGAATACAGAAATTATGTTCTGTATCTCTATATCACACAAAACACACAACTACATACACACACACTCACACGCACAAATACACACACTCACACACAAATGCACATACACACACACACACACACAAATATATATACAACCACAAACAAACACATACACAAACATACACACACACGCACGCGCATGCACGAACGCACGTGCACACACATACACACACAAACAAATACACTCACATACACACAAGCGCGCGCGCTCACACACACACGCACAGAAAAACACACACAAAAACACACGCACACATAGACACACGGACACACACACACACACACAAACGCGCACGCACGCACGCACACATACACAACACACACACACACGCACATAGATGCACATACATACACTCACATACACATACACACATGCGCACGCACGCTCACACACGCACGAATACACACACATACATAAACATACACACACATACATAAACATACACACACGTACACGCACACACACGCACAAACACTAAAACACACACACACACAAACGCATGTTCGCACGGACACACACACACACTCACACATACACACACGCGCGCACACACACACACTCGTGCGCGCACCACACACACGCACGCACGCACGCACGCACACACACACGCATATATATATAATGCCGCGATAGTCCAGTGGTTAGAGCACTGGACTCCGACCCTTGTGGCCCCGGGTTCAATTCCCCATCGCCTGCGCTCTGACTGCTTACTCGAGTCCGAGAAAACAACATATCGCCCTGAGAAGTCAAACGCAGTGTTAACGCGCCGAACCGCGGTTGATTAGGAAGGGCATTCAATCAGGCAAGGGTGACACTGCCATATAACCTCTCAATAATGAATTGAGAGAGGCCTATGTCCTGCAGTAGAATGAATGGCTGTTGAAAATATCTATCTATCTATCTATCTATCTATCTATCTATATATATATATATATATATATATATATATATATATATATATATATATATATTTACCGTAAATATTATATTTGTATATATACCTACAACCTATCCACGAGAAGTGAGAGAACCGTCAGGACGCTAGAAGGGGCCGCCATGACGGCTTCTTCATTCCGAGATGTGTGAATGAGGTGTTGATCTATCCCCACTAGTTTTAATGCATGTCCAGAATATAAAATGAGGATGTATGATACGATGACTTGCTTTTCTTTATTTCCCAAAGGTGAATTTGCTTAGTATATGTATGATAAAAGTAGTTCCTGTGTAAGAGGATAAGGCACTGAGGCCTTTTTATTATTTTATTATAATTTCTGTTGTGTTTGACAACTAACCCCTCTAAATAATTTGGTAGTATAAGTATTGAGTTCCTTTTCTCTCATTCCACACCACTAGGAAATTATTAGTATCAGCTGTACATTTAGACTTAAAATTTACCCTGTGCGAATATTTCCAGATAATGGCAGTTACCAGGCTTTAATTATTGGGTTTTAGTTATTAAAATTAACAGGCTACTAGAAAGCACATATGAGCGGTCGGAATTTAAGTTAAAGTTATTGAACAGTAATGAAAATAATATTTGAAATAATACAAAATAAACTACTCAGTACGAGTGCGTGTGTGTGTGTGATGTTAAAAGTGTATAGATGGTCATAAGGGTAAAACAATAACGTCACAGTGCAATCGATCAGTAAGATTTATCCTATGTCCGATTCTCACACGAGGGCGTGTCCATTTTTTTTTCTTTAGTGATGAAACACTATCAATAATGTCACCACAGAGCAAATCTATCGGTAAAACTAATCCCATGTCTGATTCTTACACAAGGACGTGTCCACTTCCTGTTTTAATGATGAAACAACAACGTCACCGCAGTGCAGTCGGTAAGAATGATCCAATGTCCGAATTTCACATGAGGACGTGTCCATTTTTTTTAAACAAGAACTATGTAAAGTAAATTTGTTCAGTTAATTACCTCTACAGACTAGACAAAATCCAAATGCTTCCTAACGACAAATTGTTAATGAGTATTTAGTTTAGCGGTTTGCATTAGCACTTAAGAAATAATAGACTAATAACTCTTTACTTATGCGTATACAGTATACAGTATAGATTATTAGTCATGTTATTAATCTATGGACATTCACCTACGTAGAATAATAGAACGTCACAGTGCAGTCATTTGGGAATAATTGTACCGTGGTCTACTTTCATATTAGGACATATCCATTTTTTAAAGGACATGTTCATTTACTAGGGGATATGTCCATTTTTTGTTTAAACATGTCCATTTTTTTATTTAGAGGTCATGCCCATTTTCTAAAGGGCCTGTCCAGTTTTTAAAAGATATGTTCACTTTTTAAAGGACAAGTCTATTTTAAATGGATGTCCATTATTAAGAGGTCGTCCATTTTTTCTTGGACATGTCCATTTTTTAAAGAACATATCTATTTTTTAAACAACGTCTATTTTTTAGAGATCGTTTCCATTTTTAAAGGTCATGTTCATTTTTTAAAGAACATGTCCATTTTTTACAGTTCAAGTAATAGATGCCATACATCTACTACACCAGTAAACTATTCACTCTGATGGGGACTGTTGAATTATATTGTTATAAGTTATGAAATTGAGATCGAGTCACAAATTTAATAAATGTGTAACGTTAATCTATTAATTCACTTGGGAATTCCATAGATTAACATCACGTATGCACACATACTGTCTTGTACACTGTATATTTATATAAAACCAATTTTTAAAAATGGACACGTCTTCGTGTGAGAATCGGACATTACATAACTATTGCCGAGGGATTGCAACGTCAGGATATCGTTTCATTAAAAATAAGGACAGGTCCCCGTGTGAAATATATTGTTTCATCATTAAAGCAGGAAGTGGACACGTCCTTGTGTGAGAATTAGACATGTGATTACCAGTGGATTTTCTCAGACGTTATACTTGTTTCATCACGAAAGCAAAAAATGGCCATTTCCTCTTGTGAGAATCGGACATGAGATAATTCTTAGTGATCGTTACTGTTTTACCCAAGTGACCGCCCATACACTTTTAACATTACACACAGACGCACTCGTACTGTCTTAGGTTAGGTAAAGAGTAGTTTATTTTGTATTGTTTTACATATTTATATGTATTTACAACTAATACTAATAATTTCCTAGTGGTGTGGTATAGGAGAAAAGTAACTCAATATATATACAACCAAATTATTATGTACAATATATACACAACCAAATTATTACAAATATCCTCAGTGCCTTATTCTCCTCCACAGTAACAACTTTTTTACATACACTAAGCAAATACTTGGGAAACAAAAAAAAAAACAAATCATATTCTACATCATTTTAGGTTAGGATAGGATGTTTAGGTTAGGTTAGGTAACCTAACCTTAATTTAGGTTAACTTAGCTTTAGGTTAGGTTAGATTAAGTTAGGGTTAGATTAGGTTAGGTTAGGTTTAGGTAAGGTAAGGTGTAGATAAACATCAGGCAGGTTGATTTTTGGACTCTTGGAAAATATTGACCTTTGGGTATTAGTTCAGATGTAAGGAAATACTGCACATATAACATTTCTAATTTTTCGACCTTTAGAAAAATCAACAACGGTTGTTTCTTTCTCTAATGCAATAGACGTTGGTCAAATAGAGAAATAAGGAACACATTATATATATATATATATATATATATATATATATATATATATATATATATAAAGAGAGAGAGAGAGAGAGAGTGAGAGAGAGAGTATGGGTGGAATGAAAAGACAGATGGTGCCTGTACAAAGGTTTTGGAATACCGTTTCACTACTGGAACATCTTTGTTATAGAATAGTTTGTTGTAATTACAAACTAGAGATAACCTTTGGAATAATTCTACATACCCAAATAAACATACGTAATATGTGCATTATGTTTGTATTCATTATATTAGGCAAAGTAGAAAGTGTATCCGTATATAGTTCGTTTGGGGAAATAGGTATCAGATGGGAGATGGTGTTAGATTAGTATCATAATAGTACTAAGAATTCCTTATAAAGGTATAGATGATCTGTTCAAAATGTGTAATTAAAATGAACTTTCATTAGTAGTATTTGTTTACTTTTAAAAAATATTCCAGCAGCATTACGCACATTAGCGGAAAGCTGGGCCACGGAAATTTTACGTCAAAATTAGCGGATTGTGGAATATCGATAACGCATATCGCCTTAGAATAAAAGAAAGTAGTATAAAGATTCTAACCTACGGTATCCAGCGCTGTGTCGACTCCATAGTACGTACCCGTGATGCAATATAGAAGTTTAGGCTAAATCATAAATTAGAGAAGTCTTGGAATAAAGTCAATAGTAATTCTCTAGCACCGAAATCTTAATCAGAACATGGTATATGTCGAAGAAGAAGAAAAAATAGATATGTAATTATTACAAGGTAACTACAAAAACAAAACTTCCGAGAAGAATGTACGTTTCATTTCCTTATGTTACGCACTTGCTGATTATTTAGCGAGTGTGTCATAATATTACTGCGTAAAAGTATACAACCATAAATCTATGGTGTGATAAGCGTACACTATATTATCACGATCAAATA